CATAAATTTAAAAATGAATAAAAATAAAATAAAAGTAAATCTGCCAGGCCTGATGCCACATGCCTTTAATTGGGAGGCAGAGGCAGGCAGATCTCTCTGAGATTAAGGCCAGCCTGGTCTACATAATGAGTTCCCAGCCAGCTAGGGCTACAAGGAGACCAGCAACAAAAAACAAACAAAAAAAAATCTGAAAAGAATATGTCTCTTGGGACTTAATTTCCTCTTACTAGGCCCCCAACTCTGAAAGGTCCCACCACCTCCCAAAAATGCTTGCAGGCAAACCTGACAAGCTGAATTTGATCCCTGTTATTTACTGAGGAAGTAGAGAATAGATTCCCAAAAGTTGTCCTCTGAAATTTACTTGTGTACCATGGCATGCATGCACACACACACATACACATGAAATAATACATAAATATTTTTAAAAACAGCATGTGGCCAAGTGTGGTGGCACATGCCTTTAATCCAAGCACTTGGGAGGCAGAGGCAAGCGGATCTTTGTGAGTTTGAGGCCAGCCTGGTCTACATAGTAAGTTCCAATACAGGGAGATCCTGTCTCAAAAAGACAAAAAACAAAAAACAAAAACAGCCTGTGAAGAAACATGGAAAAGTTTGGAGTCTGTATGCATCTATGTTGAAATTATCAAAATGAACATTTTTCTTGTAAGTCAATTATAGTTCAGCAAAACAATCATGTTTTCAGTTTTTAAATGACACTTAGAGAAGCTCAGTAATAGATACTATGTTGCTAGCCTCCAAGGCTCAACTCAGCCATCTCCTCCTCTAAGGGTTTGCCCCAAGCCATTTCTCAAGCAGTAACAGTGGCACTTTGCATGCATTCATCAACTTTCTGAACTGTGCGGTACATCTGGGTACAGTGGGGGGAAAAAGCAGTAGCAATGTGTTGACTGGAAGATCTCCCTTCCCTGCACAAGATAGATGCCAGTACTGTCAATGGGCTTTAGTGGGCTAGCCTAGGGGTCTCCACCCAAGTGGCATTTTTGAGGGAAATGGCCTAGAAGCAAACTTTACTCAGCAACTGAGAACAACTTGGCTTTAGCACATGTACCAACTGCTCAGGGAGAGAGGGACTAAGAATCATTCTCTTACCTCAGAATTCCCCAGGAGGAGCCTCTCTATGGGATGGTAACTGCCATTTGCCAGCCTTTTCCTTCCCAAGTGTGTGCACGCTAGAGCTTCCCAGCTCCTGTGGATATGCTCCTGTGAGCTCAGAGCTGTTCAGGAGATAGCCAACGGCCAAGCTGATTGACGAAGGGGCATTCCCAGAGGGGTCCTATTGCCCCCATGCCCTCATGGTGCACACAGAGAGACAGACTTTGCTCAGATCATTGTCAACCATTCTCTGGACAGGCCCGAGGAGGTCCCCTGAGATGAGGAGTCCAGAAGAAAGCAGAGCCAGTTGACCTGGACTCTGCCTAGCTCTGCCAGACACTGTCTCTTGGCCTCAGTGTTTTTCTTCACGTGTGTGAAGAGGAGCTTAGTCTACATTGGCAGCTTTACTTTAAAAGAAGTGTGTGTGAGGGGGTTACAGGCCTCCTAGCTAATTGTGTAGAATGTCAGTGTATAAGACAAATAAGATCTGCTCAAGTTGAAGCACACAGAGTTGGAGAGAGCCCCATTTCTCTGCCTCTTCTTCTTTACCACAGGGTCCTGGAGACAGTTCCAGGTCTCACTTTTCCACATTAGAGAGGGGTTCTGTTGGGTAGACCCACAATCCATTCCCTATAGAAAGCTTGAGTATGTGTCTTTATTCAACCAATATTGACTGAGCATTTACTGAGTGATGATCTTTGTGCTAGGTCCAGGAAAAGAATGAGGAAAAATGGCCAGAGCTGCTGCCCCATATGTACTAATGTCTACATGTGTTTAATGGCATGAGACGGAAAGTCAACAATTACTTTACTATTCATTCAGTGAGATTTGCTGAACACATACTGTCTCCTGAGTATTATTCTAGACTCTGGGCTCTGGGAATATAGCAGTTATTCCAAGCAAAAAAGAATATAAAAATATAAGCATAGTTTGTGAATAGCACATCTGATAATGGTGATGTACTAGAGACCAGTGGGAGGTGGGAGAAGTCCTCTGTTAGCATGTGCGACTTCTGCTGCGAGGAGGGACAAGAAGAACCTGAGAAGAAATGCTCCTGTCTCACAGAACAGCAAGTGCCCAGAGTCTGGGATAAAGAAGAGCTTTACTTTTCTTGTTAGAAGTGGGTGAAGCCAGAATGCTCTACAGGGGAAAGTGCATTGAGGCTGAACAGTTAAGCAAAGTCTAGTAGTTCACTGTAAGGAATTCATTTTGTGTCTTTATTTGCTCTTGGTTTTTTTTTGGGGGGGCGGGTTCTTCTTCTTAAATAAGTGGAAAGAAAATCATGGGATTTATTCAGAAATGTAATGATACCTAATCTGTGTTTACAAAAGCTCATCCTGACCAACACACAGAGAACAAATGGCACATAGCAGGTTTTTACTAGAAAGGGAAAAATTAGCCAGGCGTAGTGGCACACACCTGTAATCCCAGCACTTGGAAGGCAGAAGCAGGTGGATCCCCATGAGTTTAAGGCCAGCCTGGTCTACATAATGAGTTCCAGGCCAGCTGGGGCTATAGGGAGACCCTGTTTCAAAAAGACAAAAATTTAAAAAGGGCAAAATTTTCTCATGGATCAAATTAGGAAATGAAAAAATAAAACGTGACTTTCTGGCTTCCAGATTGAGTGGCTGAATGACGGCAGTGCCCTGTACTGGAGGGTGTGCGTGCATGCGTGTGCGTGTGTGTGTGTGTGTGTGTGTGTGTGTGTGTGTGTGTGTGTAGAATTTCTCTGGAGAAAACAAATTAGGAGCAGCAGTTGTTTCTGGAAAGTGGAAAAGTGGCAGAAGCTTTTAGTTTCATGAGATTCCGCTTGTTAATTGGCAGTCTTAATGCCCACACTACCAGGGTCCTGTACAAATAGACCTGCCCTGGCCCTATAGAAGCCCTGCCCAAGAACAATATCAAGCCAGGCACAATCCCAGCATGGATAAGGGAAGGGCTCATGAAGTTCCACACCTAGCTGAGGAGCTATTGGCAATTGATGGCTGTTGGGGTCAGAGAGTCAGTTTTCTTCAAGGATTTGGCCCCTGAGAGGCTACCCATGATCAATAGATGGCCCCACACCCATATACATAAAAGCAGAGCTAAGTGACCTCAGTGAGTTTTTAAAAAACAAACACACGAATCTGCGAGGAAAAAGGGGAGGTGCTGGAGGAGAGAGAATGGGGGAGTGGGTTTTATCAAAACATATTATATGCATGTATGAAATTCTCAAACAATAAGAAAATTAATGTGACAGAGGAATTGAGTTGGGGAAGAATTCCTTGTATTGTGAACTCTTTGGTTCCTTTTAAACACTTTTATCATTTGTGTGTATTCATAGTCCCCAAATTGAATAAAATGATATAAATAAATATTCATATCATACAGCAGTTTTGCTTCTATATTAGCTGCTGAAAGAAGCTCACACATACACACAAAAGAAACACTGGAAATAACTAGAACCCTGATTAATAAGGCTCAGGGTGTTTAGTCTGTGGGATAGCATATCACAGAGCCAATAAAAAGACCTAGCACAGAACAACTAAAGGAACTAAATAGATCTATCTGCCTATCAGTGTGGAAAGACTCAAAAACATGCTAAAAAAGAAAAAAAATAACACAGAATATGTGGTTAGCATGCAATTTAGTAAGAGTTATAAAAATGGGCTATTGGGATCCAGAACTTACAATGTGACTCAGTTCTGAAGACAAAGTGGGGGTGGGGGACTTCCTCTATACCTGTAATATTAACAACTACTACAAGACCAGGAGTGGTGTGTTCTGTACAGTACTCAGGAGGACCATGACTTCTAGGCCAGCCTTGGCTACATGTAAGTTCTAGGCCAGTTTGAGCAATATAGTAAGACCCTGCCTCAAACAAAATGAAACAAAAACAACAAATTACAAAAATAGACAAGAAACAACACAAAATGTTTTGAGTGAGAGAACTATAAACGTTTGGAACTGAGACATAGCTTAGTTGGAAGAGGGCACACCTGGCATGCACAAAATCCTGGGTCTAACCCCCAGTACCACAGAAAATGGACATGATATAGGCCACTAATCCCAGCGCTCAGGAGATAGAGGCAGGGGGAGCAGAAGTTCAAGGTCCAAAGAAAGTTTGAGGCCAACCTGGGATGCATGAAATCCTGTCTGAAAAAGAAGTGGGGGAGGGGGGCAGCCAGGGCAGGGGAGGCAGGGGAGGTAGAGGAAGAAGCAAAAACAGAAGCAAGAATAAAGATGTTTGTTATTTTAGTCTTTGTAGTTCTGTGCAAACATTCTAGAAATTGAAAATAAAAATGAAGTGTACATATCCGGCCAAAGTCCTCCATAGTGACCCTCTTATTGTCTTTATAAAGTCAAATAATTTCTAAGCAATCAGTTTGGGCACTATTAAGTATTCCTTTTAAAAGTTGTGTTGGAGCCGGGTGTGGTGGCGCACGCCTGTAGTCCCAGCACTTGGGAGGCAGAGGCAGGTGGATCTCTGTGAGTTCAAGACCAGCCTGGTCTACATAGTAAGTTCCAGGACAGCTGGGCCTACAGGGAGACCCTGCTTCAAAAAGACAAAAAAAAAAAAAAAAAAAAAAAAAAGTTGTGTTGGAGGTTTAAAATATGTGTGGAAACTGTGGCTATAAGCTCACTACTCAGGTGACAAACAGGATATAAATGGGGCGCGCCCATGTGTTCACACCGCCCCTCCCGGGCCCCACTCCCCAACTCCAGTCAGCTTCTTCTAAGGAAGGCAGACAAACTGCCCTGGGCCACACTTGCTTTTCCAGCCTGTCTGTTCACGATGGGATATAACACCTTGGCTAGGCGGAGTTTATGGACACCTTTAAAACCTGAGTCTCCAGCCTTGCCTCATCACTTCTCTCCAGCATCCTGCCCAGCAAGGAAGCAGAGCTCCAGAATGGTCCCTGGAGGTTTGTCAAAGGCCAAGCCAGCCACTCCGGAAATCCAGGAGATGGCTAATAAGGTGAGTCGATGCATTTCAGAAAAGTTTGGTCCAAAGATCAAACTTTCATAATTTGGTTCATAATACAGCCGTGTATTAAGTATAAACACGGGAGCATAGGGAAATGTGTGGTTGTGTAGCTAACAATGAAGTATTAAGTCTCTCAGAGAATCTCTCAAATAATGCCAGCAATTCAGGAGTGACCTAAACCAGATCACCTTGGTCGGTGCAGCCTCAGTTTCTCCATTTTCTAAATAAGACTTTGTATTGGATCGTCTCTAAACCATTTACTCAAATGTATGATTCTAGAAGCACTAATTCAGTTATTCATGAATTTTTTCCAAGCTCACTCACTGAAGCCAGTATGTGAGGAGAGTCTAAGGTGTTACCAATTCCATGAACTAGACTTTGAATACACTGCAGAGATGTTTATAAATGGGGTAGCAAACAATACAGTAAAGGTGTCAATTATAACGTTCCTTCACATCTGCCTAAATGGAGAATATTTTCATTTTTCAGTAGAGGGTGATTAAAGTTGTAAAGAACTGAAGTAATAGAGCTGTGGGTGACTCCAGCATGTTTTGGCCACCTAATGGATGGCAGTAAAAAGCAAGCTCAGTGTTTTGTTTTATTTATTTTATGTGTATAAGTGTTTTGCCTGCATGTACGTATGTGCACCCATGTGTGCAATACTCATGGAGGTCCAAAGAGGGTGTCAGGTCCCCTAGAGCTGGTGTAATGGGCAGTTGTTAGCCTCCTTGTGAGAGCTGGGAACCAAACCTGGGTCCTCTGCAAGAACAGCCAGTGCTCTGAACCATCTCTCCAGCCCCAAGCTCAATGTTTTTAATAAGTTAGCACATCTTTTTAAATATTGCCTAACTAGCACTCACACGATAAAAATAGATTATGTTGCATGTTTTGTCAAGGGAAAATACATGCAAATGATGGGTGCAGGCTTTCAGTTGTTGCTTCATTTTCTTCTCTCCTTCCTTCTTGTTTTCTCTCTGAAACATCATTTAATGACGTGGCAGAGCAGATCAGCTTTGCTTGCTGTTTTTTCTTTTCTTTCTCTCTCTTTCTCTCTCTCCCTTTCTTCCTCCCTCTCCCTCCTTCCCTCCCTTACTCCTTCCCTTTCTCCCTTCCTTTCTTTCTTTTCTTGAAACATAGTCTTGCTCTGTATTCCATGCTGGTCTAGTACTCACTACGTACATAGCCCAGGATGGCCTCAAACTATGCCACTCCTCCTTCCTCCCAAATGCTGGGATCACAGGCATGAGCCACCGAACCAGGCATGGCCAGTGAGTAGAAGAGGTGGGATTCCTTATGTTTAGGGCACTGAACAGTCTAGAGGAGACCACCTGAAATTCAGTGGCCAAATATTTAAGGCTAAATATTCTCATTCATAAGTTTGTTTCAATAAATATCTTCGAGTGCTTTATTTTCAAAGAAGATAATATTGTCTTTAATACCCTCATTAGAATCCTTGCATCAGGCTCAAATGTTCTCAAACTTGAATATGTACATGAGTCACCTGTTGTTCCTGATAAAATGCAGGTCTGAGGAGGCTGGATGGGCCTGTGAGTCCGCATTTTCTACTAGGTTGTCAGGAGCTGCTGTTGTAGCCACCCATACTTCAAACCAGATATCTAGTATCCTCAGAGGCCTGCAGGACCTAAGGCTTTAAAAATAGGGTACCAAGTAAAAGTTCTCAGTTTCATGTGCTGAAAAGCTGGCTCAGTGGTTAAGAGCACTGGCTGCTCTTGCACAGACCCGGGTTCAAATCCCAACACCCACATTTGGCCTAACAACCATCTTTAACTCCAGTTCCAGGGAATCTGACACCCTCTTCTGGCCTCCATAAGCACTGCACACATGAGTGTACTTACATGCAAGCAAAACACTCTTATACATAAAATAAAAATAAGTTAATCAGAAATGTTATTTTAAAATTCTTAGCTTCATTTATAAGAAAAAACTAACACATCTTGCTCCCCAACTCTCAGAGCTAAAAGGGCTAAAATAATATACATAAAATGGTTTTGAAAATACATCAGGCATCCCCTTATTGTTTGCTTTAGCCAAAAATATCCCCCAACCTGAAAAGTCTCCCTGAGGCTCTCCAGGAACCAGAGCTGCAAGGGGCTATACAGGGAACCACAGAGAACTATAGAAACCTGTCACCTGGTTAGCTAGAGTTCTGATTTTATTTATTTATTTTTATTTTATATATGAGTCCTGAGTCCTCTGCAAGAGCAGTCAATCCCCTTAACCACTGAGCCATCTCTCCAACCCCATATAATTCTTTTAATTAAGAATCTACCAGAAGGCTTTTCCTTGTTAATGACACCATCTGTGGATCATGTCCAGCTATTAGTCTAGAAGCATGTTCTTTAATTACTCATCTCCACCGTTGTCAGAGAGATAGAATGAACTAGATACTAACAAGGCTACCTTACCCCAAAGGACCTATGCTGTTTTAAAAGACTTAACCTCTATTTGATCTTCATAGCCCTAGGGCAGGCAGGGCATTATGTCCAACTTTTATATGATGAAATCAGGATTCAAAATGATTAAGAGTCATCCAGTTAAGAAATTAGCCCTCCTCCAGATTTTGCACCCCCTTCCCCATCATCCTTTCCACCACATGGTATCAGTACACAGGGAAGCTTTGTGAAGTTGGGGAGCTGGGGATGGCAGACTTACCTTCTCTGGAAGCCCCTGCCTGATGCATGTCATGATAGGGTATTTTCTGAGTCTTTTAGATGGCTAGCATTGAGCTAAATGTGGCAGAAGCTACATAAGGTGGTGAGATAGGGCCTCTGCTCCTCAGGAGTTAACAGTGTAGTCAAGGTATCTAGGGTGCAATTCAAAATAAAACCTAATTAAGTGCTTTTTCATAATCAGGGGTTTGGGACTCAATGACATTGGACATTGCTGTCAGTCTATTTACTCTCAGAGGACAAGTGCTGAGTCAAACTCCCAGTCATCACTTACCTGCCCTCTCTGCAGCCTTAGGGGACAGTTCCCAGATGAGATTTGGCAGACAGAGAAGGAAGCACTTTTTTATCAGTTATATCAGTCATTCCCCCTCTAAGCAAGCCCAGGAAGTAGATATTTTTAAAAGTACTTGCTAAATCAGGAAATTGAATTAGCTCCTCCAGGATTATTGAATTGGTTGGGTCTACACACAGGGTCAGCCAAGAGGGTAGGTAATGGTCATCATAGCCCTAGAATGATTTGAGGGGCCCCAGGGAAGACCTCCACTACCTGTCATTTACTTGGTACTTTTATTCCTTAAATTTTTAAATACATTTCTGTCAGGCGTGGTAGTGTACACCTTTGATCCCAGCACTGGGAAGGTAGAGGCAGGAGGATCTCTGAGATCAAGGCCAGCTTGGTCTAAATAGGGAGTTCCAAGCCAGCTGGGGCTACAGGGAGATCATGTCTTAGAAAACAAAACAAAAATTAAATATATTTCTGTTTTTAAAACCTCAGTGTTGGTACTAGTGGTTAAGAGCACTGACTGATCTTGCAGAAGACCTATGTTCAAATCCCAACACCTTCATGGTAGCTAACAATTGCCTGTAGCTTCAGTTCCAGGGGATCTGACACCCTCTTCGGACCTCCTCGGGCACTACATGACATGGGTGCACTTACATCCATTCAGGCATGACACTCATACACATACAAATTAAAATAAAAAAATAAAAATAATAAACCTCCAGTGTTGCTGGGCGTGGTGGCGCACACCTTTAATTCCAGCACTTGTGAGTTTTAATTCCAGCCTGGTCTACATAGTGAGTGCCAGGTCAGCTGGGGCTACAGGGAGACCATGTCTCAAATAGACAAAAAACAAAACAAAACAAAACCTTCAGTGTTGAAATGTTCTTAGAAAACTCTGTCCATCAGAGTGTCTCACTGAAGTGACAAGAAGGAGGAAACCCCTAAGAAGGAGGGGAAGGAGGTCAGGGGAAGAAGGGTCACCACTTAGAGAGGGAAAAGTATCATACAACAATGTACCTGCTTGGGGGTCCCAGGAATTTGACATCAAAGAGGAAGAGGGATGTTAGATGAGGTCAGAAACAAAGGAATGGGTCATTGCCGTAGTTCAGCACTAAAGGATGCTCAAAGTATTCGGGGGCAGAGTATGCTTAGAACATGTCTCCTCCTCCAAATTCTCTGTATCACTTGAGGGTCTTTCCTATTTGGGGAAGTAAGTAGTCCCCAAGGAAAATAATCACAGTCTTGTTATTCAGAAACATTGATGGAACCAATGAGATGGCTCAGTGGATAAAGGTGCTTACCATCAAGGCTGATGACCTGAGTTTGATCCCAGGACCCCGAATGATGAAAGGAAGAACGGACTCTCACAAGTTGTTCTCTGACCTCCACACTTAAATGCCATGGAGCATGTGCATGCATGCACACACACACACACACACACGCATGCACACACACACACACACACCACAAAAATAACGGTGTAAAAACAAGTAAAATAAAAAGAAAATGTTGATTATGTGTGTAGACAATACTATCTGAACTCCTAATCAAGAGAAGAGGACATAAAATAGTTCCTGCCCTCAGTGACGTTTACAAAATACATAGAAAGTCACCTAACAAAATAAAGAACCATACACAGTTCCATCCATGAAAAACCATACTATGCAATACACAATGAAAAACCAAATAAACATATGTCCCCAACAGCAAGGGCCTCCAGATCATGGCTGCATATTGATCATCTTCTATGCGAGTACTCTGCGATGAGAATTCCAACCATGTTTATGTGGAGGAAGGAAATGTTATTTTAATGATTATTTTGTTTTGTTTTTGGTCTTGTTGAGACAAGGTCTCCCTATGGCCCCAGCTGTCCTGGAACTCACTATGTAGACCAGGCTGGCCTTGAACTCTCAGAGATTCGCCTGCCTCTGCCTTCCAAGTGCTGGGATTAAAGGCATGTGTCACCACACCCAGCTAATGATTATTTTAAGAAACATTGGACACAGCCCCTCACATCAGAAACCTGATTGCTGAGTACCATTCCTGGCAAACACACTAAGCTTGAGTTCCGTTGGCCAGGATACCATAAAGCATCTCATGAACACACCTGACACCATCCTAGGCTAATCATATCACAGCTCTCATTCACCTCATCCACAGATATATGTTCCTGTCTCAGACCTAAGCCTCCTGCTGGGTCATGTCTCCCATTGCACTAGTGCCTCACCCCCCAAGTACCCACCACTCAGCTACACCACTGTCTTTGGGCACCTACCCTCCCATCTTCAGGAGAACTTGCCTGGGCCCTTTTGGTTACCCATCTGTGCTTCACACCCTCCTCCACCCTGATTCCCATGATCCTTTGAGCTCTGATTTGCCAATCCTGTTTAGGGATCACACCTACTGGCTTCCTCCTCCAGGATGCCACAGACTGCAGGAAGCTTGCTTAAGTCAGGACCCCAGGGATACTTTTTCTAGAAACCTATACCTACTCTCTCCTCAGTTTTTCTGTCAGTTTTTCTGTCCCTTCTGTCCCCTTCTGGTTCCCCAAGCAGAAAAGTCTCACTTCCTACTCTCTGGCATCTGGCTAAGCCCCTGTTGAACTAACTCCTCCCCTAGCCCTAGACAGCCCTTTCTGCAAGAGCAGTATGCACTCTTAACCACTGAGCTACTTCGCCAGCCCTTACTTTTTATTTTTTATTATTTATTTATTTATTTTATTTATTTATTTATTTATTTATTTATTTATTTATTTATTTATTTATTTATGTGTCTATGTGCATGTGCCTGTGCATGTCTATGGTGGTCAAAGGACAACTTGCAGGAGTCAGTTTTCTCCTTCTGACTATATGGTAATACTATACTGATTTGATGTTAATTCAGCCTAGAGCCATGTAATTTGACTTTTTAACCCATGTACCATTCTTAAAGATGTATCATCTATGGAAATGCTGACAACAGCTCGTGGGTTTTATCAGCATTCTGTTTGCTTGTTTTGTTTTTGTTTTGTTTTGTTTTGTTTTGTTTTGAGACACGGTCTCATTCTGTAGCCCAAACTGTCTTGGAATTCACTGTGTAGCCCAGGCTGGCCTTGAACCTGTTTAGACCCCTCTGCCTCAGCCTCCACAGGCTGGGATTGTAGGTGTGCACGACCAGACCAGGCTTTATTAGCATCTCTGAGGACTTTCAGATTTGTCAGTCATTTAAACAGAATCCAATACAGCTTTAACAATATTTCTTCTTTTCTCCTTTTAAGGTTAAAGCCCAAGTTGAGGAGCAAACGAACCAGACTTATGAAGAATACAAAGCTGTAGAGTACAAAACTCAAGTTGTTGCTGGAATTAATTATTTCATCAAGGTTAGACTTCAACTCTGCTTAGCATTTGATGTGATGAGTCCTATTTCCCTGACTATACCTTCATCTCTTCTGGTTGTTTTTGATTCAGACACAAGCTTGATACTTTTTAAATGGAAGAGTCTCAAATTTGGCAGATGATGTGATATTTATTGCTTTGTTTTGTTTTTTTCCCTTGTGAATTTAGAAAGTTCTCTTACAGTGAGTCTTAATTTGTGGAAACTGGGTAGAAAAAGACTGCATAGCAGTTTAGTGCTTACCTGGTTTGTAGTCATGAGTATTTATGTAAGGTGTATGTGGAGGATGTGGGGTTGACCAGACAGTGTCTTAGAATTTACTCCACCTCAGACCTCACAATTCTGTGTCCAAATTAAGTGGGTTTAAAGAATGATTTGAATCATTAGGTAAGAACATAATTTAAACCACTTTTGTCCCTTAAATAAAGGTTTTTATTAATATAATTTAAATAATTCTTTTTACAACTCAAGTAAATACAACTTATGCCATTCTAAGTACAGCGTAAAGCACTATTTAAAGTATTTTAAAAATAAATGTTATCACTGTATAAAAAATTAAATTGGGTTGGCGAGATGGCTCAGCAGGTAAAGGCACTTGCCACCAAGCCTGACCACCTGAGTTTGAACCCTGGGACCCACATGGTAGAAGGAGAGAACTGAGTCCTGCAAGCTGTCCTCTTCCACTAGCATGTCATGTCACAATTGCATGTACACACACACACACACACACACACACACACACACAGTTAATAGATAAATAAATATTAAATGATGCACTGAGTTCTAACAGAGGAAAACATTTTTGATGTTCTTTTGATGTTTTCAAGGAAGAACCAATCCAACAAGTCACTTGTGGATATGTACTACCATTATTGCCCTTGTGTATTAAACAGAGTGGTTCTAATTAAAAACAGTAACAGATAGATATTCAAATGTATATGCCTACTCAACCATCTCACCAGGGCACAGTTGCATTATTTCTCTTTAACAAATAATGAACTACTTAAGCTATAATTTCTTAATGTACGCAGCAAAAATAATCTTGAGGATTATAGGCATGCACCATTTGGTTCTTGTGGTACTGGTAACCAAATCTAGGGCCTCGTGCATGCTAGGCAAACACTCTACAAACTGAACTACATCCCCAGCTCCAGAAAATTAATCTCTTTTAATCTACTTCTGGCCTCTTTAAAGTTGATACAGTTCCCCTTTTTTTTTCAGGCCTATGATAAGAAGTCAATGTAATCACACACACACACACACACACACACACACACACTCACTCACTCATGCATGCACATTCATGCATACACATGCTCATAAACATAGGTGCGCACATATTATTATATGATTCTTGCCATAGTGTCATCATATAATAGTAAACTTTGATAAGTAGCATTTTTAAATTAGGATAGGAAGGGACATCAGAGCACAATATATAGTATACAACACAAAGCTTTTATTGTCCCAACCAAAAAGCAAAGTGACAATTTTTTATGATGTTTCAGGTCCTGGATTCACATCCAAACTATCACCTGGACCTGGGGAGGCAAGACACCTTCAACCCTGCTCAGCTCCCAAATAACCAATGGGATTTAGAAAAATAGATTCTAATACAAAATAGATATGGGACTTACAGTCCAAGTTTTCTAAAGAAATTCTGACTTTCTTCCCCCTTATCAACGTTTATGGCAAATGAAATTTCCCAATTTAGATGTCAGGAAACAGAATCACTAAAAATACAGGATGTCTTCTATCCTGCTCTGGGCATCTGTGAAAATAAATTGCACCTCTCAGGCTGTCATGCATGCCCAGTTTGTAAGAAAATATACAATAAAATAAATCTAGGAAATAACACTTCCTGCCATGCAGTTACCTGCTCTTTCTTATAAAATAAGTGATGGGATGATGGAAGCCAAGCTCACGAATGCTTGCCTAGGGCCAGAAGCACAGGCCCAGAAAGACTTACCACACTCGTCTTTATAGGAGAGTAGACCTTTCCTACAACATACATAGGAATAAATCTTTTTCTTTCTTTTTTATACCTTCCAGATGTGTGTAGCTGGTGATCAGTACATACACCTGAAAATCTTCATCGGTCTTTCTGGACAAAATGATTTGGTATTTGGTGGCTGCCAGACGAACAAAACCAAGGATGATGAGCTCACCTACTTTTAGTGGCATACTCCAAAAGTGGTCTGTTTCCTCTCACTGTAAAAACAATGCAGTTTATCAATAAACTTTCTTCCTCAGATAGTTTTTTTCTTCCATGATTGCTTATTTGTTGTATTTAAATGACCTTTCTCTCTCAAAAATCAGTGTTTTTGCTTTATAGCAGAAATTCTGGGCAAAAGATTGTCAATTGGAAACCTTATAAAAACTAATCAGGCCCAGTACAATTGGCTAAAAGTTAGAGTTTCCCATTCCCTGAACATAGGCTAGCTCAGTGCGCAGGCTAGCCCAGTGATTGGCAGGGATGCTCCCTGTGATTGTTTGGAATCCAACATGTTATCTGCACCCTCATATTTGTGAAAATTAAATCAGAATTTTTCAAGATACATCTTGAAACAATAGTAAACTTACATAAAAGCTGCACAATCTGTTTTCCCATAGATACTTGAAAGTCAGTTACCTCCAGTGATTCCCCACTACCGGATGCGTGCTGGTGCAACTGTCAAACAGTCGTGCACATTTTCCACTAACAAGCACGACTGAAAAATAACCATTGAAATCAGGTGAACACTGAAGTCCTGCTGGCATCTCATCCCCAGACACCACCCACGTTGTCCTAATAATGCCCTTTATCATAAAATGTTTAGGCCCATACCATGTGTTTCATTTAATTTTCATCGTGTGTGTGTGTGTGTTTGAGGGGGGGGGGGAGTCAGAGCACACATGGAGGTCAGAGGTCAGCTTGTGGAAATCAGTTCTCTGATTCCACCACCTGGTCCCAATCGAACTCAGGTAGTCGGCCTTGCCAGCAAGTGCCCTTACACACTGAGCCACCTCACGCCTATTTCTTAAATAGTTTCCTTGAAAGTTTTACATGCCATCCACTTCGCTCATTTCCAGTGTACAGTTCAGGGTCCTTTTGTATACTCACAAATGTGTACAGACATCACTATGCCAGCTCCATATTTTCAGCTCCTCACAATGTCCCATATCCTGCAGCTGTCCTGTCTTTCTTCCTCCACTTCCCCTAATCCTTCATTTCCAAATAGCCACTAATTTCCCTTTCTGTCTAGATTTGCCTATTCTAGATACTTCATATACATGTATGTATACACACATGGAATCATATATTAGATCTTTTTATACTTCTTTTTTAAAATTTTATTATTTTTATGTGTATGCGTGTATTGTGTGCATGTAGGTAAATGCAACCGTGTCATGCAATGACCGTGAAGGTCAGAAGAGGTTGTTGGATCCCCTGGAACTGGAGTTACAGACCGTTGTTAGCTGCCATGTGGGTGCTGGGATTCGAACCCGGGTCTTCTGGAAGAACAGTCAGTGTTCTTAACCACTGAGCCATCTCTCCAGCCCCTAGATCTTTTTTAATTGACTTCTTTCACTTAGCACATTCTTTTCAAGGTTCATCCATGTTAGACCAGGCAACATCATTTTACTCCTTTTTATATTTACTGGGATAGTTTCTATCTTATTCACTAAATATATTTGTGATTAATGCTTTTATGATAGTTTTATAATAGTTTTGTTTGTTCTATATAGCCCAGGTTGAATTCACTATGTAGCCTGGGCTGGCCTCTAACTCATAATCCTCCTGTCTCAGTTTCCAGTCCAGGCAAGATTACAGGCGTCTATTACTATGCCTGGCTCACATTTTCATATTATTTGAAATTTATAATTGTATGTATTTATGGGGTACAAAGTAGTGTTATGGCTCTGAATACAGTGCGGGATGATTAAGTCAAGTTCATTAGTCCACTCCTCACTTCAAATATTTGACATTTAATGAAACACTTGAGATTTGTTCCTTTAATAATATTATAACGCAGTCAATTACTAGACTCAACATGTGCGATGCTTTCTTGAGCAGCTTCTTCCTCCTACCAAGCTGAGGCGCTGTACTTTGGTCATGGCCTCCCTGTTCCCACCATCCTTGGCTTAGGTAGTCACACTGCACTGCATCTATGTGTTCAGTTGTTCCCCAGGTAAGTCTGTCTTTCAGGTTGGCTTATTTCACCTAGCACTGTGTCCTCTAGGTCCACCCACATTGTCACACATGACAGAATTTCTACCTTTTTAAAGACTGAACAGTATCCCATCTAGTACCCATACCACATTTTCTTTAGCTATTTATTTGCTGATAGACACTTGTGAATAGTGCCTCAGAGCATACAGATACACACTTACCTCTTTGGAGCACTGATTGGAACTCTTTCAGGTAAATATAAGGATGCAGATTTGCTGGATCATATTTTTTGCTTCTTTTTTATGCGTATGAATGTATTGCCTGCATATGTGTAAGTGCACCTGTGTCGTGCAATGCCCTTGGAGGTCAGAGAAGGTGTTGGATCCCCTGGAACTGGAGTTATGGACCATTGTTAGTCACCATGTGGGTGCTAGGAATTGAACCCAGGTGCTCTGCAAGAGCAGCTAGTGCTCTTAACCATGAGCCATCTCTCCAGCCCCTATTTTTTGCTTTTTGAAGAAGCTTCATACATAATGTCCACATTCATTTACACTCCCTCCAACAATGTAGTGTTCCTTCCTCCACGCCTTTATTTATACTCACGTTCATGAGGTGATTTCTCATTGTGACTTTAATTTGTATCTCCCTAATAACTAGTGATTTCAATCATTTTTTTTCATGTGTCTGTTTAGCCACGTGCACAACCTTTTTGAGAGTTGTCTATTTAGGTCTTCTGCCCTGGTTTTTTATTGTATGACTTGTTTCCTTTTCAGAGTTATTGGAGTTCCTCATATATTTGATATGCTATTCTCTTATCAGAGGTATAGCTTACAGATATTTTCTTCTAAATACAGTCTTTCAACCTGTTTCCTTTATTGCATGACACTAATTATTTTAATGAACTCCATTTGTCTAGTTCTTTTGCTGCCTGTGCTTTTGAGTTCAAATCTAGAAAGAAATCTACCCTCAAAGCAATGTTGTGTGATTTTATTCTTATGTTTTTTTCTAGCAGTTTTTTTTTTTTTTCAGTTTTAAGAAAGAGCTTCACTAAGTTGCCCAAACTGGACTTCAATGAACTCTGTATCTCAGGTTGGCCTTGAACTTACAACTTATAATTCTCCTTCCTGCCTTAGCCTCCCAAGTAGTGTGAGAAACACTACTGATTTTTACATGTTGACTTTGTATCCTGCAAATTTACTGAATTTGTTTATATATTCTAACAAGTGTTTTTGGTGGATTCTTTCAGATTTTCTGTATAGAAAATAAGATGATGTCATCAGCAAACAGTGACAATTTTACTTTTCCCTTTCCTAGCTGGATGACTTTATTTATTCATTATTTTTGTCTATTACTCTGGCAAGGACTTTCTTTTTTTTAAAAATAGTAATTATATCTTCTATTATTTTTATTTTGCATTTTCATACATCCTTGGTTTTGACGACCCCCCTTCCTCCAGCTCCCTGCCCCATGAGTTCTTAAACCCTTCCACCTTCAGTATTCTCCTTCCATTTTTATATCACATGTTCTTGGTACGTCTGTGGTAGCAGTTGTGATGTCTCCGCTTTCATTTGTGAATTCAATTGCTGGAATCTTTTTGTAGTTTAGTCAGCGTGATCAGCTTTTCAATCTTTTCAAAACTTGGTTTTTTCTGTTTTCTGTTCTTCATTTATTTCTGTTCTGATTTTGATTATTGCCTTTGCTAACATTGTGCTTAGCTTGCTGTTTGTTTCTAATTCTTTCAGTCATAATATTAACTAGTTTATTTCTGATCTTTCTTTTTGAATGTAGGTACTTAGTGTGACAATCTGCTCTTAGAACTGCTTTTGCTGTATCCCATAAGTTTCGGTATATTGTTTTTCAATTTTCATTGTTTCAGGTATGTTTTAGCTTCTTTTAAAGTTTATTCATTATGGGGCTGGAGAGATGACTCAGTGGTTAAGAGCACTGGCTGCTCTTGCAGAAGACCCAGGTTTGATTCCCAGGATTCACATGGAGGCTAAAAACTATCCTAACTCCTGCTGCAGGGGACCCAACGCCCTCTTCTGACCTCTGAGGACACTGTATGACATGGGAGCGCTTGCAGGCAATACACTTACACACACACACACACACACACACACACACACACAAAATCATTGCTTAATTGCCATTTGTGAATTTCTGAAATTTTTCCTGTTATAGATTTCTACTTTTATGATGTTGTGATTTTTTAAAAGGTGTGAGGCATGTTATCAATCTTCTAAGTTACCAGGACTTGTCTTGTGGTGTGGCATATGGCCTATCCTGAAGAACGCTTCATGTATGCTTGGGAAGAACACATCCCATTGTTGGGTGGAAAGCTCTCTGTATGTCTGTCAGGTCCATTTGGTCAGAAGTTCGAAGTCTGTGTTTACTTATTGATTTCCTCTCTGATAATAATCTAATACTAACAAATGGCATATGAATGTCCCTTACGATCACTGTATTTCTCTTGTTAATGTTGTTTTGAGGTGAGGGTCTCATTAGTATAGCTCAGGCTGGCCTGGAACCCATGATCACCCTGCCTCCACCTCCTGAGTGCTGGGCAGCTGTGTGCCACCAAGCCCAGCTCCTTCCTCTTAGTATATTCCAATCTATTATTGCCTTCAGATCTTTTACTGTTGCTTTATAGTTTAAGAGTTTTGCTGGAAGTCATGTGTGGTCATTATATGCTCTTGACAATCTGATTCCCTCGTTGTTGGGTTCTTTAGTTGTCTCTTACTATTTTTTAATTTAAAGTCCATTTTGTCTGATCCAGTTTCACTGCCACTACTCTTGGTTTCCATTTTGTAGGCTACCTTTTCCTGTCTTTTCATGTAAAAGTGAAACGTCTATAACAGTATTGACAGATTATAGTTGAATCTTTTTTATCAATTCATTCAGTTTTTTCATTGGAGAATGTAATTCATTTACGCAATTACTGCTAGATAATGACTTACTACTACTATTTTGTTGTTTTCTAACTGTTTTGTAGATATTGTTTCTGCAAAGGTGGAGGCAAGGACAG